GCGCGGCCAGGCGCGGCCAGCGCGCGGGCGCCGCGCCCAGCGCACTCAGCGCCGCGTCCAGCGACACGTACAGCGCGCGCCGCTCGCTCTCACTGCACGCAGACAGCTCCTGCAGTACGGGTACCGTGTTAACACGCTTATCAAAAGCCAAGTCCCAATCTAAAGTCAATCATTTTCAATAGTTTTTCCAATTTTATTACGAAACAATAAACCATACATACCTCCTCAAGGGCTTCTATATCATCCTCCTCATCGGCTTGTACCAGATGCTTCTTGAGCGGCTGAAATCAAGAAACAACAATCATTACATTAATGAACGACATAATTCACCCAATGCTTATAAAATAACTGCAGATGGTAATGCAAATAAATCGCTAGACTTTTTCTAATATTTTAAAATAACATTTGTATTAGTAATAGGTATGTTGAAAGTAGCAAAATGTTAACAATACAGGTCTGCCGGTGTGTATGTACAGTAGTGCTTGTAGTCGCATCAACGCTGCAGCTGTAAGCCAAGTATTGTACAGTCCGTACGTTCTCTCCTAGAACACCTACACTTTATGTAGGCATCTCAGTGGGAATGTGTGTAATAACAAGTAGGTATAGCGTGCGATACAATATAGTCTACAAGACAACATTTACAAGTAACACTAGGGCTACGTAGAGGTGCACATATTAATATAACACGCAATTGTCGCCAGTTATGACTTTTACAATACACGATAACTAATAATTGAAATTATACTTTTAATGGTCTTAAATTTCTATTTATAAGTTGTCTAAGTAGGCTTTATTGTGGGTAAATAATAGTACATATATTCACATAAATATACATAATATACCTACATATGTATTAGGGGAGAGAACATAAGACGCTGTGCATCTATTTATGTATAAGCAGTGACGCAGGCGTTCAGCGTACTTTAGTTGAAATGTATTTATTAACCTTGGCGCCTTATTCTTGACTCGAGATCGCCAAGCAGGGCCTGAATGGTGTAAATACCTGTTTCATATTAAATTTATTAACGGTACTAAAAAAAATGTGTGTAAATTGTTGCATATTAATATATAATAATAAGATGAATTAAGAAAGCAGTACTTCTGGACACGGCGCGTATTGTCCGGAAATTCCTTTCTCTGGAGCCCTGACCACCACCGGTAGCTTGGATTTCTCCCGTTACCGGTGGGCTACTGCTTTTTATATTTTTAAATGTTTTTTTTTATACATATAATGAAATATTTAAAAATATATAAATCAAGTATGAAAATAAATAAAGGGAGATTAATTATATAAATAAAATTAATAATTTCATACTTAACATAATAATATAAATTATACTTTGATGGATCAATGTACGCATGTATAAAATTACTTATTATAAAGAAATTGTTTAATTTATTAATGCACACCACAGATGTCGCCTCTAGTGAGAAGGTCCCGTCTGATATGTTACAGTAACGACTGTTTACGAAGCACGAGCACATTGACCTTTTCAAATATTGTCATGAATTTATATGATTCTGTCACACTATAGATATTTTATGAATAATATAGAACATAAATAAATGCGTATATCAGCAACAACAACGTGCTTTTATTTTATCAAACGACAGCGTGTTATATAAGTACCCATAGAGAGGTTAGTTAGAGTAATACAAGAACAACAATATTTTTTTATATATCTAAGTACTTTTTTCGACAAATTATTCAGCTTATCCAATTCATAACATAATATCACGCCTATTATCCCCGAAGGGATAGGCAGAGGCGCACATTATGCACTTTTCACTATTTATGTTATGAGGCCCATGTAATAGGGGGTGAGCCTATAGCCATATACCGGGCACAATTTCAGGCTCCGTGCTACTACTGAGATTACGAGGCAGTCATCCAATTCATATAGTTATCATAATGGTAACAGATACCAAATGCAAACAGATAGTGAAATATTATATGTTTCAAAGAAACGCATGGAATTTTTTATGCCAAATGTTACATACATTTGGCATCAAAAATTCCATGCGAATATTTAATAACAATAGAAATTGCTTAGTTAGAAAGAAAATAATTTCTTACTGCAAAGCAAATAACTTGGCTTATTTCATTTCTTGCCTAGAATGAATATAAAAGTAGTATAAGTAATATATACTCACATCAACGGACTGCCTGTACTGGTCCATCATATTCTTAGTGGCGTCCAACTCGGCTAGCTTTTTCACAACTACATCTGCCACGTTCTTTTCTGTGATGTCAATTTTCTCTCTGTAAATAGCGATACGGGATTGATATGAATGGAGTAAGGATTTAGCAGCGATTATACATAGTAAGTGGTTGTAGTAACAAGCGATTTGAGCAAAAGTGTGTAACTATGAATATTGTAATATTGAGGATGTCCCTGGAAGTATGGGTTAAAATGGATACAGAAGTATAGGAAAGGTAATTTTTAAATATTTTACAATTGTAATTAAAAAATTAACTCAGGGAAGCAGATGCAAAGGGGCTTAGATTACGATTGTAAGAGGTAGTTAGCCAAATGTAACTGGAAACGCAGTTTGTCGAGCTAGTAATTAGGAATTGTGATTGCAGGGTAGAGTAGTCATAAGTGGTACGGACCGTAGTACGGCGGCGAGTCTCTCGGCGTGCGGGTCCCCGGCGGCGGCGGCGGCGGCCTGCGCCAGCGCGCGCAGCAGGCCGGCCAGGCGCGCGTCCAGCCACAGCGCGCGCTGCAGCACGGCGCCGCGCGCGCGGCTCGTCTCCTCGCAGCGCCGCGCCGTGATGGCCGCCGACAGCGCGCGCAGCGACTCGCGCTCCGACACCGACGCAGACTCCGGCTCTGGACAACACCAATCACACGTCAATCGTGGAGGAAAAGCTCCAACATTTTCTGCGACCGATATCGCACGATTTCGCATATGTTCTACAAAAGTAAAGCGACGATATCATATCATAAAACACGAAAGCTTAATTTGTAATAATCACTTACCTTTGTCGTCCACATAAAAATCTCTCTCTGGTGACAACTCGTCACCGCTCCACGCACCGGCACCCTCTGCGCCTGACCACCATTCTTCAGCGCATTCTAAATAAAAGAAACACAAATTATCACGACGCCATAAAACAAACTTGAATGTTTAAATTTTAATAATGATATTAAAATATTACCAGGATCAGTAACGAGGCACGGCTCGGTCTCGGAGTCGAGTAGATCGGCGGAGTTGTCATTGTCGTCAGACATATGCGAGCGGTCGTCGTCCCTGTGCGCGGGCGCGGCGTGCCGCAGGGCGCGCGCCACGTTGGCCAGCAGGCCGCCGCCCGCCGCCTCCTCCTCGGGAGACAGCGCCTCGCCGCTGTCGCTGCGACTGGCATTGGAACATACATTGTAATCACTTAAAGTTCGCTTTACAACACACTGTCAGTTCTAACATAGATATATTGGTGTTGTTCGATATTATTGTAAATTGTAAGTTACGAGCTCAGAGTATGAGGTACCTGTATAGTTCGTTGTGGTAGACGGTGGGCTCCTGGTCGGGCGGCAGCGTGTAGGCGCGGCGCACGGCGCGCGTGAGGCGGGCCAGGCGGTGGCCGAGCGCGTCGAGCGCGGCCAGCGCGCGCGCCCCGCCGCGGCCGCGCGCCGCCGCCGCCAGCGCCTCCTGGCGGCGCTGCTCGCACATGCGCACCAACTGACGACACTCCGCGCGCCTGGTAACAAAAGAAAACCTCCTGATTATTCCTGAAAATAAAGAGTTTAATCGTAGCGGCTCGGAGATTAATATATCCACTTCTCACACCGCATAAGACCATTACCAAGTTGCTACTAAACTTCTTAATATTTTATTTAGATCGTGTAACCATTTTACCTTCGTTCTAGATCTGCATTGACCCTGGCGAGTTCAGTCTCTGCGTCTCGCAGTGAGTCGCTGAGTGCGCCAGTCTCTGCGGCGAGGAAGTCCTGCATTTCCGCCGCCTCGCGCTCCGCCTCGCCCAGCCGAGCCTCGGCCAGTCGGGCACTCTCGCGGGCACTGCACGCCTCCTGTACATAAACACCATTATTTTGTATTGTTAAGTCCCCGGCGTGGCTTGATACGAGTCAAGTAACACGTGAGTCGTTAAACTCCGCACATGATAATTAAAAACATTATTAGGTCTCACTTTGACAAAAATAAAGAAGGATAATTTGGCTTTGTCATTATTGTTATTTCATTATTGTTTTGACATAGTGAGAAGGTATATACATAAAGAGCACAAGGATTTTTTGAACGTACTGCGTACTGAAAACTGAAAAAATACTTACGACGTGGAGCTTATTGCACTGTTCCCGCAGTGCGTCTATCTCTGCACTCTGCCTGGTCGCCAGCTCGCCTGCAGAGCGCAGTTGTTCCTCCAGCGCGCGAAGACAGCCGTCAGCCCCAGCGCCAGCGCCTGGTGGAGACAAAATTAAACGTTATTTAGTTATAGTTGAGCACTAATGACCACTCACGGCCGAATTATAATAACCTCCTATATATTCTCATTTCAACTTTGAATTTGTTCGTATTAAACAAGTCATTATTAATTGTCAAGTCTGTTCTCACGTGGTTAGCACCACGTGCTATGTTTCCATGTATATTGAGAGACCTGGCTCTTGTGATACAGGGATACCTAGTACAAGAGCCAGGGCTTCACTGTGTTAAATCTCTGAAGCGCTAATAAACGATTTTATTTATTCCATGACAATTTTTTTGAAATTACTATCCTTACAATCCAAGACTGACAGTAGTTTCCAAATCATTTTAATCGTACCTAAACTTTAGCTTTTAAACATCCGATTCTCTATATATGACTTTATCAATGAAAACTTATAATATTTATTCAGGTGGTGCGGTATTTTGATAACCTTTTTATCAAAACATGTAATCTTGTAAAAAATCGTCAGTGCAAACCAGTGAAATCCTACTAATATTATAATTGCGAAAGTTTGTGTGTGTGTGTGTGTGTGTGTGTGTGCGTGCGTGTGTGTGTGTGAGAGAGGGTGTGTGTGTGTGTGTGTTTGTTACTCTTTCACGTCAAAACGGTTACCACCAGAGGTAGATTAACGGTCTAGAATAACACACAGGCCCGGAGCCGCTGGCAGGAGCTAGTATTTAATAATAACGATGATGATGAGTTGACTGATTAGAATTAAGTTCGCTTATGTATTTTATTATGTAATTTTGTTGCATCAAGATAAAAAAAATAATATTTTTCTGTCAGTCGAAATCATATCGAACGAGTCCTATAACATTTTGCACTCTAACTTAAGGGACATATTACCTTTCAGTCGCATAAAAAGTCTTAATTAACCAACGTTAAAATACAGCAAAAAATTACGAAAATACTGTTTAAAAACCAATTAAAAAGAATTACAATTTCCAGATTTGTGTATCGGCAATCACCATGACATATAAAGAGGTCGTATATTAATTAACGCGCGAATTGAACCGGAATTGATCGGAGTCAAAAACTTGTAAGCTGTATGTTAAACCGACCCTATTTAACTGAGGTCACAGAATAAACATAACATAACATCACGCCTTTTTATCCCCGAAGGGGTAGACAGAGGTGCACCATACGGTACTTAATGCCACTGTACAATGTAACACCCACTTTTCACTATTTATGTTACGAGTCCCATATAATAGGGGGTGAGCCTATTGCCATATACCGGGCACATTTCCAGACTCCGTGCTACTACTGAGATTTTTAAAAACCCAGTAATACTTTGCCCGACCCCGGGAATCGAACCGGAGACCTCTAGGCCGGCCAGTCACACCTGCGACCACTCGGCCAACGAGGTAGTCTACAGGTCACAGAATGTGATCGTAATTTGAAGTTATGAACGAATTAAGCAGCTATATGGTAATGACACCATCCCTAATCTTCCCGCGGGTGCCATAAGCCCCAACAAATGGATGGACTACACTCTTTCACGGTCACAGGGCCCCAGTGTGCTGTGACCCGCCGCCCGACCAGAACCAGCAGCGTACGGAGGGCTCAAGGAGCCATCAGACCATGACAGATGAGGCCTAATAGGGCTGATGCCGATACGGAGCCGCAGAAGACTTAACAGGTTGCCGGGGCTCCGGCTCGAAGTGCAGGAGCAGTAGCAGTGAGCAGTACGAACGGGGTGGTTTTTAGTCAGTAAGAGTCTGACACTCCCTCCCGCCTCACCCTGGCGGGAGAAGTCATTTGACGATTTTCCCCCCTCAAAAAAAAGGGCTCCAGTGTGCTATGATAAAGCTGTCTGTACTGACTGCACGATTGGTGCGGTGGCTGGGCAACGTGCCGCGGATTCTATTCCCACACCGCACGGAACTAGTCTTTATGTCATTCACAGATTGTTGCTTCATGTCTGGGTGTGTGTGAATCTTTTAACTCTATCTCCAATTCCAACTCGGATAACGTGAGTAGAAATCGTCAAACCTTATGTAGACGAGGCTCATAGAGTCATATGTCGAAATATTCAAACGTCTCTCAATAGGGTAGTTTCCTAAATTTTATTTTAAGGTCCGTCTGGTACATTAATTTAAAACTTTACCAACGTATTTTTTCTTTTCTCACAAAATTAAATACTTTCGACGATATATTAATTTGAAATATCGTGTGACGTCACAGCGTGAGACATTTTATAGCACGATATGACGTAACGACCTCCCACTCTTAAAATTAGCGCCATTTTATCTAAGTATTGCAACTTAATACGAGACAATAAAAAACGTGTCTAATATTTATTCATTATCTAACTGACGAACTAATTAGATTTTTAATTTTGGTACCCTGGAAACTACCCAATTTTAAGTCGCGCTTAAGTTATAGTTCTGTCACTACAAATTCTTTGTAAAATGACAGAGACGGCATGATATTTAAATACAACTTAATATCAAGTAGCCTTTCAATATTTGAGCGATATTCTAGCAGTGGACTGCTACGGGATGTTGATTAACGTATTTAATTGAATGAGGTCAGATTTCGCTCCTGTTTACCGCACGCAAGTTATAATCTATTCCTGGTTACATGGATTATGGACTACAACTGCACAGTTTAATGTTAATTATGCAGACCGTTTTATGGAGGTTTTGATTTAATATATTTTCCTTATTAGCTAGCTTAGCACCAATACTTGCAGTTGCTGTAATATTTTCCTAGTTTACGTTTAAACTTTTTCAGTATTTTTATCCCAAATATAAAACATACGTTAGTTTTGATTAATATACGACCCAGTTTCAATAAAAAGTAAGCACAAAATAATGCAACATTCAAGACTTGCTGCTCAAAGGCCTTTGTGATGTGTAATATCACATGAGCATTGTTATTTACACAAAAGCCAAATGACATTACATACTATGTACTTACAAGCATATCGCTTTATGTCCTAGTAAGGGTTATGATATACTTCTATACTCCTTAACATAGGTACCAGTATCACACTCAGAAAGGCTAATACATAAGTTTGTTTGTGGTTATTTTATAATTCAGATTTATTCATTAATTAAAACGAAAACAAAAATATTATTGCAAAGTTCCTAGCTCTACTATTTAGAAACAAGTCGGACAGGTTTAAAGCTTTTACACAAATATTGCCATAGGCACTTACCAGCGCCGGCGAGTTCTAACAGCCTCTGTGAGTTGCGGTCCAGCTCCGCGATGGCAGCGAGGCGAGCCGCCCGCTCCGCTGCCAGTTGTGCCTCGGCCCGCTGTCGCCGCTCCCGTTCCTCCGCCGCGGCCGCCAGGGCATTCGCCAGCCGTGCCGCTTCAGTATCTCGCGCGCTCGCCTGCACGCCTCGGTGACAGCGGGATACTTCTACATGACTGGAAAGTGGAAACCCATTGTTTCTCAATACAATAGACACAACATTTTTGCATGCAAATTCTTCAGTATAGGCTCGTCCTTAACCAAACCAACATAATTTTAAAGATTTGTAAAAAGCTTTTCGCATAATCAGTAAGCAACTTACTTTTCAATATTTGGCACAATCCCCGCCAGTGCCGACTCGATATCGTTGCCGTTCAGCACTGTCTGCGAGGTTTTCTCTGCGTAGATGCGTACCCGCGTCTTGATGGTGGTGCGTGAAGAAGCTGATCGTGTGACGGTGGGGCGTCGTGACGATGGAGGAGTGCCCTCGTGTTTCGGAGAGCTATCAGGTTCTGCATCACGTCTCCTACGCGGTAGTGTCGCATATTTATCGGCTGTGGCTCTTGTGGCGTTAACATCGGTTACTGTCGTCAACCGCGGTCCATTCGCTGGCCATCTTTTCTCTTCACTCGGCGAGTTCGGTGTCCGGCACCGTGCTGTCGAGGTTTTGGTAGGCTTTGCACGTAACGCAGGGCTCTCTCGTACGAGATTTGGCAAGTCAGCTGTAGGCCGGATTCGTGGTTTAGGTGTCAGCGGTCGCGGCTTTTCGGGTGGTGTTGGTTTCTCTCGACTCCTAGCACGTTCACGGGTGGCCAGGTTGGGGCCGCGTGGCGCCGTTATGGGTCGTGGCGCTGCCGAGCTGACAGGTGAGCTTCGTTTCGGCTCAGCGACGTTGACATTGACGCGCCGTCGTGGACGCGGCGGTGCGCCGGCAAGTGACGAGCTTTCAGAACCGCAACCAGAGCCACACGAGACTACACTAGAAGCGCACGACCTGGACCCACCACCACTAGAGAGCGCACGACCACATCCTTCTACTCCGCTGTCACTGCCAGCAGCGCCAAGAACAAGTTCGTCTCCTGCTGGCAAGCTATCTAGGTCACCCAACGACCTTGCATCATCATTCGGTTCGATGGGTTCTTGCTCAATGAAAGGTTCCTTGGGTAGTGGCGTGCTGCAGTTGCCTTCTGTATTGACTGTGTCAACACTAACTTTACACTCTTCTTTTTTATTTTCACTTTTGTTTTCACCATTACATTTATTCTTGTTATCATCACTTCCGTCTTTATTATCTATATTTACAACACTAGTGGCGAGGTTGTCTCCTTCGGGCTTTGTTTCAGTGCTAGGAACATCGTCAGTTGTCTGTGTGTCGACCGTCAGCTGGCCGGCCTCACCGGGGCAGGCTGTGCTCTCCTCTTCCATGGCAACTTAATATCGCATGTTCTGTAACAAAACAAAAGACTTTGAGTAATGAATGTTGGTTGGTGAAGCGATCGGAGCGCAGTAATCAGTTCGGTGCAGCGGTATTGCGGACTGGCATCTATTGTGCGCCGGCCCTTGGGCACGGCTGCACTGGCGCAATCTCGAGGGAGCTTATTGCTATTGTTTCTGCTGTCGCCTATTCAACTACTGTCTATTCTGAAATAACTGTTATACAAACAATACCCAGTACATATAAACATCTATAGAATATTAAGATGGCACGATTAAATGGAATCGCGATGCAAAATATTTTATACAAACAACAGCTTAGCATGTAACAAGGTTCACGGCTTTAACACAGGTTTATGGCTTCACTTTGCGTTTGTGTCCGTAAAAATACATGTCCGACAACGTTGAATACTTGTAGTACAAGGCATTCAACTACATAAAAGCTGAGAAGTGGTTTCGGTAAAAAGTTAGGTATAAGAGTATAAAATGGTGAAACGAACAACAATGAGCAAAACCTATCGCCGTATTGTGTAGCGGCTACAGAGTACAGAATTGTTCTCATGACCGGGCCTCCACTCGGCCTCGCCTATTCATGCTATCTAGGTGCAATCAAACGTTTTGCGTCAGGGTTTCAGAAAGAAATATCTTCCCATGGAGGTATAATACTCGATATTCGTGACAAAAGGCAGTAAAATTATTTTATTGATACAATGCCTTCGTGGAAATCGTCTGGAACAGTAATATCTAGAATAGAAAATATCTGATTTTATTGTATAAGTATTCGAAACGTCGACCGATAACATTGATGTGATTGCTTATACTTCAACATACGACTGTTGATGTTAGAGTGTTGGCCACTCGGTCTTGATACGTTATCAGTTGTAGATTTAGCAAGAATGCCAATATATTACAAATATACAACACTTGGTTCCACCCACCCACTTCTGTAATCGAATGATATCATCAATCGTGTACAAACATAAGATGGAAAATTAATACCAATGCAGTTAAGAATAACGTAAAATTCAATAACAGAAGTGGAAGTATTTTATACGTAAATATGTAGGTACTTAAGTACTTACTAGTACTGTTACGAAAAAGCAAAACGAATAAAGTTTTATGTCGGCATCATACAACACAGAGCTATTTCCTTTCTACATATAATACGTATCAATGTGTATGGTACCCATACAATCCATACATGTAGCCCAGCGGGGATACGGGAACCGGGTCATTGTACTGCGATTTGCTGGGGGCATCAAGGCGTACCATTCAAACACTGAGCTGAAGCTACAGCCACCTATACTACGAGTTCGTTATTCAATTTGTCACGGTAATCATGTACGCGACGCGCCGTCTACGAGCCTACCGATAAACAGACCGAGGTTTATTTTTATACCGTCGGTATAACAGACTTGTTGCTGGTTAATTAATCTAGAAAGGCCACGGCGAAGGTCTAAAGTCGTTGCCTCGCGTTAGAAAAAATATGCGTGGGTGTTGCGAACAGATGAGTAATAAGCTCAAGTATAATGCGCATAACTAAAACAGTCCTTATGCTAAGTTGCTGCAGAAATGATAATGATAAGGAATATAATAAGCACGCTCTCCTCAAAATTACCATCGTCAATTTCCACTCGAGTGACTTTCTTGAAGATCACGTTTAAAATACAAACAAGCTGTCTATTGCTGTACTTGATATTCTGGAGGGGCTTATTGCGCCACGCCAGAAACGGAGCACGTAGACACCGCTTTTTTTCCTCGAGAAAACATTGAATTTCTTTTAGAGGTGAAGGTAAAAGTACATATTTAACTATTCCATCAACGTTTTACGATACGAATATTATCATTGAGTATTTATTTGATGGATTATTGGGCCATAACTTACGGAGATAGAACGAATGTGTTATAAAAGCGAAAATAATCTTTATGGTTTAACCATAATGGTCACCATCTGGGGCTGTATTTTCACTTCCATCGTCATTCAATATCTATCAGATATCGAAGTATCGTTTGAAAAATAAATAGAAAACAGTTTACGTTGTAGAAAACAATATAAACCTTTACTTACAACTTTTAATATTGAATACGTACTAAAAATTATTGCTATGGGATTCTTATTCCATTATATCTTATTCATTGTTTACTCAAATTATGGAAACTCGTATATTTTACGCTAAAATGTAATGGATGTCGTGGGAATGTTTACCTCACGCATGGCCATAACCTTTACAATTGAGTACCATAGTAAAATTTGATGATTCCTACCGTACTAAAAGTCCGTTACCCATCCCGTTAAAAGGTGTCTCAGTGAGAGGAGACATCAATCGATACACTCACGACAGATTTCAATTATTCCCAAACTAGATATGCCAGGTATTTGGCTGGAATCCATCTCTGGGCGTCAGTTCAATTATTGTACGTATAAATCTACATAACTTAAATCTGGGTTAATCCACGCAATTTGTAAACGCGTCCAAACCAACTGCCTACAAATGTATAAATCAGCAGTAGGTACCTATTCAAAGTAAATTACACTTTGAATCAGAAAAAAGCCTACGTTTCATAAGAATAGACACAATTAAATAAGACGCGTGTCTAACTTCGTGATACCGTACAAACGTATCGTAAAAACAAATCTATTTCTCTTCTCCGAAAATAAATATTTAGTCCAAAACAAATGTTTAAAAATACATCAAAGTTACAGTTTTGTATACGTGTTTAAATCGTGACTGCCGTGATGCCTTTAGAAGCAATATCCAATGCAAATTTAGCAGCAAGAAATATCGAAATGTAAAGAAACGATATTCAAAGGCGGCATCGTTAACACTCTAGCAATATTTTTTGTTGAGGCAATAATACATCGGGTTTCATTAAAAAAAAAAACTAATGACATCGCTACCTTAAAGGAAAGATGTCGTTTCCATTTATGATATTCAAATTACTATAATCTCTGTCATAAAATAGATTTGCATGGCAAGTTTGCCATTTGATCATCTATATTTTTTCTTGTTGTTTTCTAAAATTAATTACTTTCTGGTTCAATAGTTGTATTTGTAACCTTTAAGCTCTTTTCTATGAAATTGCTGTAACAAGTATGTTGGTAGGCAGGTACTACACACATGTATTTATTTGACCCATTCCTTCTCGTAAATCCATGTGCGGTTTTAAAGGCTGTAATTACACATCGAATTACAATTTACAACTGACCTTTACGGTTTACGAGGGACATGATACAGCATGACTATGAACATGGTAGATACATTGTTCTCGCACAATCCAAACAGCAAAACTATGTAACTAGTAAATTGTATTGTGAACCTGATTGAAAAAGAAAAGAGTAACCTATGGAGTTTCTTGCTCGTTCTTCTCCATAGGAATCTACACCTTGGAATGAGCAAATAGCTTCACTTTGATTATTAATTTTATTTTGACGTTCAAAAGTGCTATTCTGGCCTAATTGAAATAAATGATTTTGACTTTGACTTTGACTTTGATATTCTTTATCCAGAAATCGGTGTGAAGGCAAAACTGAACATAAAACAGTCAATTTTTATTTAAATAAGGTCGAAAGTTCTGTAGCTATTTGTCAGGTGGATTCTGCGGTTGACACATTGACAAGCTCTTCTTCGAATGAGTTCGTAAACATTTACCCATTGATTGACACTACAGTAAACACATTCTGTCATCAATCATGTCACGTTATTCAACGGAGGTTCTCACTAACTTAGCATAAAAAGTCATGCAGCGCTTAACATCGGCAACATCTAGGCAACACGTACTGAATAAATATTCTGGGCTGGGAATAAAACAATAATATAGGTACTTTACATTTACAAACTCTATTTAAATACCCAACGAATTCAGAATAAATATCTACAAGAAAATTACTGCTAAGCTATTAAACTGCTCTACTTTAATACGTACGGCATTTAAACTTATGTAATTATAATACTGTAAATGCGGTTTAATTAGTTCTCTCACTTACAAAAACCTGTGGAAAAGCATACATGAAGTACTACATAAAAGATCCAGAAGTAATTAATGTTCTTTTATTTTCATCTACGTAAACAGGACGTTAGAAAAAGATGGCGTAATTCCGACATAGTTTTTTGCTGAAACATATATTATAATTAAGTAACGTAGTCGTAGATAAATGATAGGTTAGCGTGCGTTGAAATAAAAGAAATAACAACAGATGTGGAACGCAAAATGAGTTCAACAAATCATTCTAACATAGCACAGACCTTGCAGTATAGATGTGTGGAAAAAATAAGTTGTAGAACTTGATTGCAATGGCTGGCAACTCCGTCATTTCACGATTTGAATTATAGATCGGACCTGGCAAAGACCTCGATAAAACGAGGGATCTAAAAGAAAACAAAACAAAAACGTAATTCTGATGAAACAATCGGATTTGTTTATTCCAAAGTTAATGTAAATCCAAGCTTGCTAGTTAAGGTAGGTAGGTACATTTATCTACAATTTTATTGACAACCTGAACATGATTTTCTTAGTCACCTACTTCCTCTCCAAACTTTTACATAATCTATCGACATTCGACAGACGTAATTTCACGTAATATCCTAGAATTGTTACTCTTACATCAAATTGCAACAAGAGACTATAGAACAGACGGCCATTTTAGAATCGTGCAATTGGCACGTCCTTCCGTGTCATAGGTGGACGAGGCAAGGTCGTTACACTGGCTTTGCTACAGACACATTCATGATTTGGCAAAGTTTTTATATGTGTTTTGCAAACCATACACCGGGACCGGTAAATTAACCGAAACTACATCATCGCCGAATATAGTTTTTAATTTATTTAGACATTTTAATGTAAGTAGGTAAATTAATGCTAATAACATTTACATTTATTGAACATCTGTTATCAACATCATCATCACACTTTGTTTTTTCCCCGAAAATGCAGTTAGGTAGGAGTCCCCTATCCTTACCTAATAGCTGTATGAACACCTTATTCTAATGACTGCATGAACACCTCTATAATAT